GAATCGATGAGTCATTTTTCAGTGCTTTGACTCGTTCTGGCATGGAATCGATGAGTCATTTTTCAGTGCTTTGACTCGTTCTGGCATGGAATCGATTAGTCATTTTCCAGTGCTTTGACTCGTTCTGGCTTGGAATCGATGAGTCATTTTTCAGTACTTTGACTCGTTCTGGCATAGAATCGATGAGTCATTTTTCAGTGCTTTGACTCGTTCTGGCATGGAATCGATGAGTCATTTTTCAATGCTTTGACTCGTTCTGGCATGGAATCGATGAGTTCTGCAAGTTTCTGCTGCAGGATCTTGACCCAGGCTGCATGTAAAACAGCTCTTCACGGGACGCTGGTTTTCTGGAACTTCTTCTCACTGCTCGAGCAGGTATGGCCCAGACATGGTTGATGGGGTTCATATCAGGTGACTGACTTGGCCATTCGAGCCGTTAGATGCCTTTATTAATTAAATTACTATTGAATAAACATCACGGTGCATATTTACTTTTGAGATATCTCTGTAGATATCATTGTTGACTTATATTTTTACCATAATACATATTGTTCTTGACTTGTCCTTTTACATAAATATATCTTACTACTTAAAAAATCATACGATTATTAAACATGGTTTGAATGTAACACACTCTATTTCAAAATATCGACTATTTATGACAAAACAAACTCACCCCCATAAAACGTAGCTGTGATTTTGTTATGACAAACCCACCCTCACAAAATTTAGCTGTGACTTCATCAGCACAAACCCACCATCACAGGAACTTAGCTGTGATTTCATCCACAAAAAATCACTACCGACAAATTTAACTGTGATTTAATCAGAACATACCCATATTCACGGGAAATTAGCTGTGATTTCGTCATGACAAGCCCACACTTACAGGAATTTAGCTGTGATTTCATCAAAACCAACCACACTCACGGCAACTTAGCTGTAATTTGATTAAGAGAAACCAGCTTTACGACAAGCTAGCTGTAATTTCATTAAAACAAATCCATCCTCACAGGAACTTAGCATTGATTATATTTTAACACACCCACACTCACAGGAACTTAGCATTGATTATATTATAAGAAACCCACACTCACAGGAACTTAATATTGATTACATCATAACAAGCCCACACTCACAGGAACTTAGTATTGATTACATCATAACAGGCCTGGCATGACCAGATGGGTAGAAAGCTCGATTCGCAATCTGTGAGTCGCGGGTTCGAATCCCCGTCCACCAACATGCTAGCCTTTTCAACCGGGGGGGGGGGGGGCGTTATAATGTTACGGTCAATTCCACTATTCGTTGGTAAAAGAGTAGCCCAAGAGTTGGCAGTGGGTGGT